ATAAAAAAAGTAGCTTAGCGCATATGAAATGCGTCTAAAAGACTTAGCGTATCGTTACATAAGAAACCGACGATTAGTAAATGTGATTAATAAATATAATTAGTAAATATAATTAATAAATATGATTAGTAAATATGATTAATAAATATAATTAATAAATATAATTAATAAATATAATTAACAAATATAATAAGTAAATATAATTAATAAGTATTATTAATAAATATAATTAATAAATAAAATAAATAAAAGTATTTTTATAAAATACAAAATTTATAATTAATCGTGAATTCTATTCTATATAAACTTAAGCATTGAGTTTAAGAATGATCTTAATTCCGTATCGCTATCTTTAACGCCGTAAAACAACTTCGAAGCTAGCTCGTCCTTTTTCTAAATCAATTGCATAACGCGTTAAAATAAAATAAGATCGCAATCAGCTTCTTTAAATTCAGCATTCTTTTCGAATCCTTTTATATTCTACTAAGCGGCTAGACTTAGCAATTCGTATTCAATCTCATCGGTATTTGCTTTAATTTTAGCTCGTTAATACTTCTTTTTATTAAAAGAAAAGTAAACGTAAAAAAGCTTGATTAAATAAAGACTAAAAGTTATAATATTAATTCAGTTGATTAAAAGCATAATAAAATGAATTCTTACTTAGTTCGTTTTAAAACCGTGCTTGCTAAGTTTTAAGCTATTAATTCAAGAAAAGCTTCTCTATTCTTTAAATTAGCAGCTCGGCACTTCTTTGTCAAAGACCGCGCTACACTTTGCTAATAACGACGAAATTGCTAAACGGTTATCATATAGCGTGACTTTATATTATTAGTAAAATATAAATATTTAAATAAAATAAATGCTTACTTATGCGTGCTAACGTACTAATTGCCGAGTGACCTTCTTTATCTCTTTATTAGTAATCGAAACGTATTTATCGCGAAGTATATTATTATTTTCTTTTTCGTCTTTTCGCAAATTAAATTCTTTATAAACCTTTTCGTTTGAATTGAATGCTTTATTAACTTAATCGTTATTCAAGTATTTTTTATTATTAAATCTAATTATAAAAGAAGCGGCTTGCATAGCAAGATTATCCGCGTAGATGCTTCGATTCTTTTTAAAATCGATTAGTAAATTGCTTAATAAATTAAAGAAAAGAAAAAGTATTGTTTATCTATAAGATTCTTTCGCATTTCGGCTTATTGAGTTTTCTTTTCAGCTTTTAATGCTTAAGAATATTCTAAGGTTTGTTTTTAAATTGCAAAAAGCTGATTAGCGGCCGCTTAATCTCGTCTTTTAGCTTTTCGAAGCTCATTTGCTTAAAGATCTTGTTTCAGCTTTACTATACGAGCATTGGCTTTTATCGTATAAAGATTAGTTAATAATTAGCTTCTCTTTAGCCTTTTTTTTTAAGAAAAATTAATAAATTAATAAAAGTTAGAATACTACGTAAAAAAGATATTTACTTTGCGCTTGCCAAGGTTTTTTAACACCGGATTGCTTGCTGCCACGATTACCGTCGTATCGGCCGCATTTTAAGAAAGACGTTTTTAATTAGTAAATAAATTAATAAATAAGAAAATGATTCTTATTATAGATTTTTCAATCTTTTTTATTAAATTAAGCTGATTTGTATTTGCAATAATACCTTTTATCGAATCAAGCTGATAAGCGGCTATATTGAATAGTATTATAAAGAAGCCAAACGTTAAGAGTAATTATTTAAAGTAAAATCAAAAGTAATAGAATAAAAGTGTTAAGATTAAAAGTGAACTCGTATATTTTATTTTTAAAACATCTTAGCGCGGCCGCTAGTGAATTCACGAAATGATAAGGCAGCCGCAGCTAAGATAAAGCGGCCGCAGCTAAGATAAAGCGGCCGCTTCGCGCAATTTTTACCTTATAAAGTAAAGTTTGATTCCTTTTTATTATTATTTAGTAATTAATTATAACTATCGCTTTCTTATTTGCTACGCTTTTGAATACAACGCTATTTATTGCTTTATAAAGTCGTCCTTTTCTTATTTAAAATTATCAACTTATTAATCGTAAACTAAATTATCGCGATCAAGTCTTTTTATTAATACTTTTAAATAGCCTCTTTACTAAACGAACCTTTGCTTTCGGACCGACCTCTTTTTATCGATATACTAAGCACTACGGCTAAAAGAGATAACGCAAGCTAAGATAAGTTAATTAATAAAGCAATTGAGAATCAAGCGATTGAAAGTCAAGCGGCTGAAAGTCAAGCGGCTAAGGGTCAAGCGGCTAAAGTCAGGCGGCTGAAGGTCAAGCAGATAAGAACGAAGTATAAGAAAGTAAAACAGATATAATACGCGGCGAAAGCGTAAAAAAAGAAAACTTAAATTTGCAAAGTGAATAAAGTAAGTTTATATTTAATTAATCGAAGTATTACTAATACTTTTTCAATTACTTTGCTTAACGCAAATCCTTATCTTTAGTTTAGCAAAGCTTAATTAGTTACGGATACGCTAGACTTTACTTTTGCTAAGCGCCGCGCTATTACAACTCGATAGCTATCCGGTTAGTATTTAATTAGTAAATTGATTAGTAAATCAATTGCAAATAGCTAATAAGCATTTACAGAAATTCTTAAAACCTCGCGCGGTATTGCAAGTTTATAATAAAGAACCGATTTATTTCCGTCCTTTTCTCGCTGAATTTCTTAAAGTCAAGCTAATAAGTATTAATTACTTTATTAATTAATAATTGCTAATTTCTATTATTTTAAGTAACGCTCTTTAAATATTAACAAACTCTCGCGCAAATACAGACTAGCACTTATTATCTTTTAGACTTCGATCCGGTAATGTTTTTAACTTATAATTAATAAATATTTATTAATTAAATTTTTCTTTAGCAAACGCAATTAGATTTACTCCGGTTATTTAATCCGAAATGAACAAAAGCATCGTTCTTAATAATACTAGCATAAGTACTAACAGCTTTTAATAAGTTTAATTTTTTTAAACTTTTTTCTTTCGTTCGCTAATTGTTTTAAAACTGCTTTAAAAGCAATATAACAATCGACGAGCTAAGCGAGTGCATCAGCTTAGCTTTAAAACGAAGATCCGTCTTACGACTTAAGTGTTAAAAACAATTCTTTTGCAACTGTTAAACCTTTTTTTGCTTTTATTAATAATCGTATTAAAAAAGCTTTCGCGCAAAAAGCTCTTAAAAAGTCTTTTACTGTCTTAGGCCCAATTATAGCTATAAAAACCGCGACGAAGACGATGCTTTATAATGATATAAATAAAAAAGAGCAAAGCGATAATAAAGAAAACTCAAGTGAAAATGATATTCCTTTTTCTTAATATAAAAGAGCTAAAAAATCACTTTCGACGGCTAGAACTGCTCGCTCCGTTCTATTAGCTAGCAAATCACTTTCGGCAGTTAAAACTTCTTTTCGTTAAAAATCTAAAAAAGGCAAGTATCTTAAGAAGTCTGCAATTATTACGAAAAAAAGAGGTTTAAGCTAACGAAAGCGCCGTCGTTATAAGCTAAGAAGTAAGTTTAATCAATTAATAAATTGATTCTCAAGTACAATTACTAATTTATATAACTATTGCGTTAAAAGAGATCCGACGATATTAAAAAAGCATCGAGCTTCTTATCAAAAAGACTCTTTTTTAGCGTTTTGTTCGAGAGATCACTTACGATTTTAAATAAGACTTTAAATTTCAAAGCGGTGCTTTAGAATATTTACAAAAAGCTTTAGAAGCATTCTTTATAAGAGAGTTTGAAAGTAAATACTTATATATTTATTTACTAATCGATTTATTAATCGATTTACTAATCGATTTACTAATCACTTTTAATAACGAACTTATATGCTATTCACGCTAAACGAATAACGATTCAAAACAAAGATATAGCGTTAGTTAAAAAATTGCGGGAAATCATAATTAAAAGTTTTGTTTAATAATTTTAGTTTATTATAATATAATGCAATGTAATTATAAAGTATAACATATGTAATTAATAAATATAATAAATAAATATAATGATTAAATAAAATTAGTAAATATTCGTAAATTTGTTTTATTTTTAGCGGCTTTATATATATTATTTTTAGCTGTCCTACTTTAAACTTATAAGGTTTCCTCATCCTTCGTAAGGAATTTGACTTAAAAAAATCCTTTTTATAAGGTTTAAAAAAAAAGTCCTTTATCGGCCAAGACCTTATGGGGGGAATGGGGAGGAAAACCCCATGGGGCCCCCACTCCATGGAGCAGCCTATTAGCTATTTAAAAAGGTGTAATTCTATTAAGTGACTCGTAAAGTAAAGTTAATTAAGCGATGTTTATAAGAAGGACTAGTTTACTTTAATTATCTTAGTAGTAATTGCAAAAAAGGCGAAGTCGTTGCTTAATATATTAGTTTATTACTTCAGTTTGACTATCGATATTAAGGTTGTAAGCTATAATATGTGACGACCTTAAGCGATTACCTGAAGGAACTCACGGGAGCGCGGGGGTTTATATAAGAGCTCAAGAGAATCTCAAAGTAATGACTTAGAATCAACAACTACCGAGTATAGAGGTCGAAGGTAGCTAAGGTCTATATATACGAAGGTAGGAGCGCCAAGGACTTGTGAACCATGGTTCATGGGTCAAAAGCGAGGAATAAGAGAATACGAAGAATACGAAAGAAAAAAGAAAAGAAGTAGCTTAGCGCATATAAAGTGCGTCTAGAAGACTTGGCGTGTCGTCATATTACTCTTTCGTCCGAAAAAAGCTCGTCCTCGAGCGTCTATTTATTGCCTTATTATTGCTTAAGTGATCGTAGTTATTAATACCGTCCGAATAAGCCTTGATCCACTCGAGGAGCTTCGCGGGAGGGCCGGGGAGCTTTTTGTATTTTAAGTGAAAATTACGTACTTTAAAAGGAGCGTATATGAAGTCGGAGGCGGGGTATTAAGTAAGGTCAATGTCGCGGCCGAGCTAAGAAGCGCGGTATTCAAGGTGCTTCTTAGTTTAGCGTATCGCTAGGATGTTTTCTACTTCGTACTCAAGTTCGCTAGTAATATTAATCGAGTCAGGTTTAAGAATGATTTGCCTGAAGGTAGAGTCATTAAAAGCTTTTCGTAATCGTCCGGGGTAAAAGACTAGGTGAACTTTTATTGACTCGAGGAGCTTGAGTTTGAAGCTGCTATAGACGTTGTCGGTAACTTCGAACGGTCCGTTCGTCGGGTTATCGAGCTTCTTTAACGGTCGAGAGGTAAAGAACGGGCGCATATCTAACTAAACCTTATTATTAACGTCGAAGTCAACCGAGCGCCTTGATTTATTAGCTTGTTTAGCTATGCGGTCTTAAGCGCGCTAAAGGTGCTTTTTAGCGAGGTTCTAAGCTCCGAGGTGGCGGTTGGCGTAAGCGCGAGCTTCGTCTTGGTTGAGCTTGCGAAAAGGGGTTTGGTCGTCAAGTCGTTCTAAGTTCTAATTTTAAATGGTCCGAAGGGCGTAGCTATAAATTACTTCAAAAAGGGAAAGACCGTCGAAAGAGTCGTGAAAGAGCGTTAATTAGGCGAAGTCTATTATAAGAAGGAACTTACTCTAATCGTCTTAATAATAGCTTACGAAAGGACGGAGGCGCTTTTGTAAGTACTGGTTATAGATTTCGGTTTGACCGTTAGTTTCAGGGTGTGCGGCGGTGCTAAGGGTCAGTTTGGTGCCGAAGATTCTATTGAATTCTTTCTAGAACTCAGACTAGTATTAAGGTCTTTTATTAAAAGTCAATGTTAAAGGAGCTCTAAAATACCTATAGATATAGTAGATATAAAGCTTGGCGAGGCCTTTAGCATCGATGGACTTGTAATAAAGGATCGAGATTGCTTACTTAAAGAAGCGGTCGATTATTACAAGGACGTTGTCGTAGCCGTGCTTGTTTTTACTAAAGCTATAAAAATCTATAATAACGTGCTCTTAAAAGCGCGAAAGGATTGAGAAAGATTGGAGCAAACCAGGTTTCTTATCGCGAAGCATTAAAGCTCGTTTGCAAGCGTGGCAGTTGCGGCAGTACTAGTTAACGAATCTGGCTATACCGTGCTAATAGTATTATGCTGCAAAGAGCTTGTAAGTTTTGCGAAAGCTAAGGTGTGCCGTAAATACTTGGTCGTAGACTTCTCGGACGAGTAACGAGCGCAAGTTTTGAACGTCGAGAACTAATAAACGGCCGTCATAAAGCAGCAGGTCGCCTTTCATAATGAGTTTGGCTTGTGAACCGTAGTTTACGGGTAAGGACTCAGCTTTAGAAGCTTGAATTCGAAGTGCTAAGAAACTAAGGGCGGTCCGATTAGCTTTTAAGACTTGGTTAATAACTCGGAATGTCGATAAGAGCTCTGCGATCTCTTCGATAGTGACGGCGGTCTTTAAGAGCGTAAGTTAGCGTAGCTCTTCGATTAAGAGTCGTGGGTCAACGTTATCGGCGCGGAGTAGCGTTTGCAAGCGCTGGGTACGCTTAAAGCTGTTTTAGGAAGGGAGCTCTTCGGTGCGACGTATTAGCGCGTCAGCCAGCGGGTTGTCTTTATTTAGTTTATACGTGATAATAAAATTGTAGTCGGAGAGTAGCTCTGCTTAGCGTGCTTGACGGGCGTTAAGGGTCTTGGAGGTCATGAAGTACTTTAAGGCCTTATGGTCGGTGATTACCTGAACCTAGTAAAGAAAGCCGGCGAGTTCGGCGCGGAAGTTATTAAAAGAGCGTATAATAGCTAGCATCTTTTTATCGTGGACGACGTAGTTAAGCTTAGCGGGAGCTATGGTTTTAGAATAGTAAGCGACTGGTAGCTAGTCGGAACCATGCTTTTAAGAAAGGACTAAAGCGACTACGCCGTCTAAAGCGTTAGTCTTTAGCATACAAAAGAGGTCTTGGTTATAATGCTATAAGATTGGCGAAATAATTAAAGCGAGCTTTAAGAAGTCGAAGCTTTTCTAATACTAAGAATTGAATAAGAAAGGAACGTTAGCTTTAGTCAAGTGTACTAAAGGCTTCGCGATCACGCCGTAATCTCGAATGAAACGGCGGTAAAAGTTATAAAATCCAAAGAAGCTTTAAACGCTTTTAACGGTTGTAAAGGGCGCTTAATGCTCTATTATCGACGTCTTGTCCGGATCTACTTTTAAGCTTTCGGTAAAGATGATGAAGCCTAAGTATTTTACTTTAGTAGTGCCGAATTCGCACTTTTTGATATCAGCCTAAAGGCTAGCGTCGTCGAGTCGTTAGAAGACCTGGCGGACGTGGTAAAAGTGCTTTAAAGGGTCGGAGGAGTAGATCAAGATATCGTTTAAATATGCCGTGCAAAAGATGTCTAAGAAGTCGAAAAGGAGGTCATTTATATAGCGTTAATAAGTAGCGGGTCCATTAGTCAGTCCGAATAAGAGAACTTTGCACTTGTAAGCACCGTAGCGTGTTCTAAATGTTATAAGCTCCTTTAAAGCTGGGTCCATTCGTATTTTATAAAAGGCTTGCCGAATATCGAGTTTCGTAAAGATTTTAGCTCTTAAAAGACGTGCGAAGGTCTTATCGATTAAAAGGAAAGGGTATCGATCTTTACGAATGAGGTTGTTTAGCGCGCGGAAGTCAATACAAAAGCGAAAGGAACCGTCTTGCTTCTTAGCAAACAAGACTAAAGCTGCAAATAGCGCTATTAAAGGTTCGATAAAACCTTTATTGAGATTGTCGATAAGGTAGGCTTTAGTAAGCTTTAGCTTAAGGATTGATATCTTGTACAATAGTGAGTACCGAAGCGCCTTCTCCCTTCTTTCAAGAAGCTCGATTTTATAGTCGTAAGGCTTGTGTAGTGCTAGCACGTTGCTAGCAGCCTTAGAAAATACGTGTGTATAATCGGAGTATTCGAAAGGGATAGGAAGGTCGTTAGTGAGCTCTGATAGTTCTGCTGCGAAGTCGATAGCAAAGATAGAGCCGTTAATGAAGCGTATTAGCGTTGCTTAATAGTTAGCTTGAGTAAAAGCAATTGTTTAACGCTCGGAGATCAAGCAATCGAGCTCGTAAAGGGACGTAAAGAACAGTTCTACGTCTTTTTGTCGAGCAATCATATAGAAAGCGTGTCTGGAGACGCCGTTGATTTTAAGGTTTCTATTGATTTTGTGCTTGGATATTTGGCGAGAGCGTTTGACGGGTAAAAGAGGTTCTACGGAGGCGATGTCGATTGACATAAGCTTACGGTTTATCTAAGACATTGACTTAGCGTAATTTTTAGAAAAGGTGTTTTTCGTAAAGCGAAGAAGTGACGGCTCTACAAAAGGGTAAATAAAAGAAAAGGGTTCAACGATCTTAGAAAAGGAAGCGGAAGGAAGACGATTTTAAAGAGAAAGAAGTGATTTAGCGACTATTATTATTGCTTAATCTGCCCGTGAACTATAGTTCACGAGTGAATTAGCGTCGTAAGCTCTTTAAAGGCGGTCTAAGGCTCGATCACGCTTATTGGCGTCGTATTGATGACGAGCGTTTACCTTACGCTAATTAAGGTGTATGATCTTAATAGGTTTAGCGTAAGTGGCGGTCGGAGGATTAGAACGAAGCTAATAGAGCTTGCGGCGAGAGCAGTCAAAGAGAATCTGGTGCTTAGCTAGCTATGCTCGTCCGAGGATCACGCTATGATTTCCAAGGTTAGTGATAAGAAAAAGAGTAAAAGATTAAACGCGCTTATTAATCGTAAGGTTGAGAAGTGCAAAATGTAAGATAGTAGCTTTACGAGCTTTATTATATGATTTAATAAGGAATAGGGCCGGGAGGAGTTGAATTAAAGGTTTGAGAAAAAAAGAAAGTGATTTGAGTAGCGCTGAGTCAATCAGCGCGTACTTATTAGCTTTTGAGTCGAGCAAAGCAAATACCTTGTACGAAAGGCCATTCTTGGTAAAGGTGACGGGTATAATCATGGTTTTACCACCAAGAAGCTTCGTAAGGTCGAGGTATCGCATATCTCGAAACTGGCCTAAGAAAAAGGCTTTGCTTAAGCCTCGACGTTTCCTTTATTAAAAGCGTCGGAGTCAGCAAGAAAGAGCTCTTGGTGATCTTTAAGAGCATCGGAGTAAAGCTTATCGTTCGAGTCATTCGAATAAAGGCCGTATTTAAGTCTAGCGCCGTATTTTATTTCGTTGATTAAGTGGTAGCGAAAGAGCTTCGGCGTATTCGAGTCCTTGCGGGACGATCTAAAAGTCTTGATCGCTGACTTAAAAGCGTTTCCGGGAGAAAAGAATTTGTTAAATCGATTAAATCGATTTGCACTAGCGCTAAAGCTGTTAAAGGTTTAGCGCTAAAGGGTAAGAAAAGAGACGGGGGTTGAGCTACCTTAGCGGTTCTCGTAATAGGTGATTTGCTTGACCGCTGCTCCTTAAGCCGAGCGAGATTCGGTACGAGCTCTATTATAAAAGCTCTTTGCGAATTAAGTATTATACTTGGCTTGTGGAACGTCGTAAAGCCTTGCAAACGCGTATTAGCTAGCAGCTAATTGTTGGACGGCAGTTTGAAAGTCCTTGAAGGTTGTAGTCTTAGCAAATTCTAAATAAAGCTGGTCGCGCAGCGTCTTAGTAATCTTAGAACGCAAGGCTTTACGTAATCGGTCTTCGTTTTTGATTTCGACGGTAGCAGCAAGCTCCGAGAAAACAAAGTAAAAGTCTTAAAATTACTAGTTAAGCTTTATATAGAGTTTTTCGAACTTAATTGACGCTTTGGCCTTTTTAGCGGAGTCGTTTAAGAACTCGAAAGCGATCTAGACGAGTTCCGAGGCGGTTACAAGGTTGCTACGATCCATAATTAAAAGGGCTAAGAATAGGTAAGCTATTTCTTCGGTTTGGTCAAGGACGTAGTTTTTACGTTAGCGTTTTGTAAAAAAGTATTCTTCGAAAGCTTTTAAGTTGTCGAAGACGCGGGCTTGCTAATAGCGTGCTCGATAGCTTACACCGTTTAAAAGCTTTTGTTTAAGGTTAAAGATCCGCTCGATACGAGCGCGACCTTAAGAAGCTGAAGAGGAAGCTTTAAAAGTGTTGAACTTAGCTAAAGTGCGAGGGTTGGTTAGCTTATGAAAAGAAGGTAGTTTATCGTCGTCGTCGAAAAGGCGGCGAAGGTTGGCGGTTCTATAAGTAAAGGGAGTGGTCTGGGAGACCGAGGGCCTGTATAGCTCTTTATCTTTAGAATTATCTTCGAAAGAGACTTAAAGAGGCTTTGACGAGCGTTCCGTAGTTAGCAAGACCGCTTAAAGCTGGTCTAGTTTCTTTCGAGCTCGACGGGCTTTTTTTTTAGCCTTTTCAGCGAAGGTTTTTTATTCGCTAGCGTTTTTATCGAGCTTTTCGTTGCAGGTTTTTATGTTTGCGAAGAGCTTTCTAAGCTTAGCAGCTTTTCGTTAAGACTAGAAAAGAGCTTAATATTGAGCCAAAGCTTTTTCGAGGTTAATAAAGGCCGAGGGATCATCTTTATCGTCTTGCTTATTAGTAGCTTTTTCTTGAGTAGAAGGAACTGCTAGTTGGGCCGTAAAAGAGGAGGAAGGAGCTGCTAGAGCAGCTTTAAGAAGTGTGCGAGGGATTTTGCCCGCGAAGCGAAAGTTGCTATGTTGTATAGGTGCTATCCTTTAAGTTATACTTAAAATAAGCCTTCTCGTGACCGTTAGTATCGTCTAAATGTTTTTTGACGTTTAACTACTAAGGAATTCTAAAGAAAAGGAATATTATTAAGGCCGTTCTCGGCGAAGTAAAGTAGTTATTGATAATGTAACGACCTTAAGCGATTACTTAAAGAAACTCACGGGAGCGCGAGGGTTTATATAAGAGCTCAAGAGAATCTCAAAGTAATGACTTAAAATCAATAATTACCGAGTGTAAAGGTCGAAGGTAGCTGAGGTCTATATACACGAAGGTAAGAGCGCTAAAGACTTGTGAATCATGGTTTATGAGTCAAAAGCGGGGAATGAGAGAATACGAAGAATACGAAGGAAAAAAGAAGGGAAGTAGCTTGGCGCATGTGAGGTGCGTCCAGGAGACCTGGCGTGTCGTCACATAATAAGCTTGACCTTAATTCTTACGATGCGATAAAGCTTACGCTAAAACGTAGATATAAATTGCGAGCCGCGATCGGAGATAATAAAGTCGAAGTTGCCGAAATAACGCACTTAATAGATCAAAAACAATTTAGCGAAGCTTTTTGCGGTAATCTCTTTATAGCATAAGATCGTGATTAAGCGTTTAAAAAAGCGATTTATAATTACTAAGCTAAAATTATAACTTTTTTTATTTAATAGCAATTTAGTAAAGTCTATTGTAAAGTGTTGATTAGCTCGAGCTAGAATAAGAAAAAGCACGAGTAATCCGAAGGTTTTATTGCGTTTAGCTTTTATTTTAACGCACTTGCAATTCGCAATATAACGTATTACATTTGCACTAAGCTTTTTTTAAAAGTACTTGCGTTTTAATAGCTGTTTAGTCTTAGTAATACTAGCATGCGCTACGCAAAGTTGATTATGGATATAGCGAATAAAAGCTATGCGTAGCTTAAGAGGTTCGAAAAGAATTACTAGCCGCTTTTAAAAGTAGAGCTTGCCGTTTTATAAGTTATAGTCAATATCGTAGCTTTAAGTAATTGATTCGCGGATGTCTTGTAATAAAAGCGAATTAGCATTAGCTTAAAGCACGCGATCGATAATATCGTAGCTATCGATATCGTAAGCAATTATATTAATGTAGTTTAAAAAGTCTTCGTCGAGCAATACGTCTTTCGAAATAAAAAAGGGCGGTAGGATATTATGCATTAAGGCCAAAACTATTAAGATAGAGTAGATTATTATAACGGAATTATTTATTAAGTAGAATTAAGCGAGCTCGTTAAGAATAGACAATAATATAAAAGTAAAAGAATGTTGATTGTAATCAACAATATCGATAGAAAGCTGTATATCGCGCAATACTTCCGAAGAGATTTTATTAGCAAAGAGTAATTGCTGTTTGCGGACCGCGCGCTAGCGAGCTTTTAAAAGAAAGATATCTTAATCACGGCGTAAGAAGGCGTTAGCTAGCGTGTTCGTGATACCGGTGCGGTATATAATAAGGAAGTGAAAATCAGCGAAAAACTCGGCTTAACGTGCTTATCGTACTATAAAGTCTTTCGTCGTTATAAAGTACTTAAGCGCGCGGTGGTTAATATATACGTAAACTAACTTTTAAGCACTTAAGAGCTTTGGTCGGTAGTGCTAAAAAGAGCGGAAAATAGCTAAAAGCTTTTTATTATAGATAAAGTAATTTAACTTAACGTTAATCATCGTTTTAAAGAAAAACTTAACGGGGTAATAAAAGCTATCGTCTTAAAGCTATGAAAAGACGCTAGCGACTACGCTATTAAAAGAATCAGTTTTAAGACGTGTTTGCTTATATAAGTCGTAGTAGCACAATATAAAAGCGTGTTGTAAAGCAGCTTTAAGCTTGTCTTAAGCTTCTTTGCAAGCTGAATTAAAAAGAAAAAAAGTATCTTTAGCTGTAAAGGCGTTTAATAACTTGCAAAGCTAGTTAAAACCTTTGATAAATCTTTTATAGAAATTGTAAAAGCCGAAAAAGGATTGTACGTTACGCACGTTTTCTTTATACTTTTAGTTAATAATAATTGCAATCTTGTCCGAGTCTACTTCAACGCCGTTAGTATTAATTATAAAGCCGAAGAATTTGGTTTTATAAACATTAAACTCGCACTTTTTAATGTCAGCTTGAAAGCCGTGATCGTTAAAGATGCGCATGATTTTCTTGATATGCTCGGTATGTTTTAATTTATTAATAGAATAAATCAAAATGTCGTTTAAGTAAGCGGAGCAGAAGTCATTTAAGTAGTTTATAAGTATATCGTTAATAAACCGCTAAAAAGTAGCGGGACCGTTCGTTAGTTTAAAAAGTAAGACTTTGTATTTATATATACCGTAACGAGTGCGGAACGTGTGACGACACGCCAGGTCTCCTGGACGCACCTCATATGCGCCAAGCTACTTCCCTTTTTTTTTCCTTCGTATTCTTCGTATTCTCTCATTCCCCGCTTTTGACTTATGAACTATAGTTTACAAGTCCTTGGCGCTCTTACCTTCGTGTATATAGATCTTAGCTACCTTCGACTTTTACACTCGGTAGTTGTTAATTCTAAGTCATTACTTTAAGATTTTCTTAAGCTCTTATATGAACCTTCGCGCTCTCGTGAGTTCCTTTAAGTAATCGCTTAAAGTCGTTACATTATCAACAATTACTTTACTCCGTCGGGAACGGCCTTAATAATATTCTTCTTTTTTAGAATTTTTTAATGGTTAAACGTTAAAAAACATTCAAACGATACTAACGATCACGAAAAGGCTTATTCTAAGTATAACTTAAAAGATGGCACTTATACAATATAGCAACTCTCGCCCCGCAGGCAAAATCCTTCGCACACCTCTTAAAGCTGTTCCAGCAGCTCCTTCCTTTTTTTTTACGGCTTAATTAGCAGTTCCTTTTATTCAAGAAGAAGCTATTAATGAGCAAGACGATGAAGATGATCCCTCGGCCTTTACTAACCCCGAGGAAGCCTTGGCCTAATACTAAGCTTTCTTCTAGTCTTAACGAAAAGCTGTTAAGCTTAAAAAGCTTTTCGCAAATATAAAAACCTGCAACAAAAAGCTCGATAAAAACGCTAGCGAATAAAAAACCTTCGCTAAAAGAGCTGAAAAAAAGGCCCGTCGAGCTCGAAAGGAACTAGACCAGCTCTAAGCGGTCTTGCCAATTACGGAACGCTCGTTAAAGCCTCTTTAAGTCTCTTTCGAAGATAATTCTAAAGATAAAGAGCTATACAAGCCTTCGGTCCTCCAGACCATTCTTTTTACTTATAGAACCGCCAACCCTCGCCGCCTCTTCGACGACGACGATGAACCACTTTTTTCTTATAAGTTAACTAACCTCCGCACTTTAGCTAGGTTCAACACCTTTAAAGCTTCCTTTTCAGCTTCTTAAGGTCGCGCTCGTATCGAGCGGATCCTTAACCTTAAACAAAAGCTTTTAGACGGTATAAGCTACCGAGCACGCTATTAGCAAGCTCGCGTCTTCAACAACTTAGAAGCTTTCGAAGAATACTTCTTTATAAAACGCTAACGCAAGAATTACGTCTTTGATTAAACCGAAAAAATAGTTTATTTGTTCTTGGCCTTTTTAGTTATAGATCGTAGCAACTTCGTAACCGCCTCGGAACTCGTCTAGATCGCCTTCGAGTTCTTGAACGACCTCGCTAAGAAGGCTAAAGCGTCAATTGAGTTCGAAAAACTTTATATAAAGCTTAACTAGCAATTTTAAGACTTTTACTTTGTTTTCTCGGAGCTTGCTACTACCGCCGAAATTAAAGACGAGGACCGATTACGTAAGGCCTTGCGTTCCAAGATTACTAAAACGCTGCGCGACTAGCTTTATTTGGAATTTGCTAAGACTATAACTTTTAAGGACTTTTAGACTGCCGTCCAACAATTAGCTGCTGGCCAATACGCGTTTGCAAGGCTTTACGACGCTTTACAAGCCAAGTATAATACTTAATTCGCGAAGAGCTTTTATAATAAAGCTCGTACCGAATCTCGCTCGGCTTAAAGAGCAGCGGTTAAGCAAATTACTTATTACGAGAACCGCTAAAGTAGCTTAACCCTCGTCTTCTTTTTTACTTTTTAACGCTAAACCTTTAATAGCTTTAGCGCTGGTGCAGATCGATTTAATCGATTTAATAAATTCTCTTTTTTCGGAAACGCTTTTAAGTTAGCGATCAAGACCTTTAGATCGT